TATATATATGTGTATATATATATATACACACACACACACACATACATATACATATATATACACATCCATATATGTATATGCATATACATATATATATGTATGCATATACATATATATGGATATATATATATAAAAACCAATAACAACTTTAATTGCAATCATGCAAATTACTATTTAAATTGAATGATTTTGGAAAGCTTTACACACTGTGAGCACAACACACACACAAAAAACAAAATGTCTTTCCGGTGTGCAAACTCAAACTTTATTGAAAGTTGTTACATACAAGCACACAGTCGTTTTGAGCAAAACTTGATAGATATGCTTGTACGTCAGAGGAATAAAAGGCTTTTCTTATAATATCCTGGATTTGGAGGCCTATCTAAGCATTAGTCTCATCAAGGAGAACTAAAGAGAGCAGCTCCTGCTCTGGTGAAATGTGTGGAAATCGGACCTGGGATGCTCAGAATAGTCTTCCTGTACAGAGGTTGTGTTACCGTCACTGTCATATACAAAAAGCAAAAGATCCTTTTCAGTATTTTTGGTCAAAAAATAGAAAGGTCCTATATTGTTTTGGTCTTGATCTCTGAGCATCAGTGTTCAAAAATAACATCAAATCCTAAAGTATTCCTGAGTAGGGCCAAAAATTAAGCGTAGTCATTACAGTTTCTAAAAAAGAAATACCCAAGTGCTTTCGTGTACCTGACGGGAAGAAATTTGGCAGTTACCAATAAATATCGTTTTACATTTCTCTATTTTCAAAAGCTTGCAATATGACATAATGAAAGCTTAAATCACTGTATCATCCTGCCAGATCATGATTCGCTGGTAACTGCAAAAAACGATGTCTATTTTCATACAAGTGCAGAATAATGTTGTGTTCCAATTGCCTCTGAAGGCAGAGAACGAAGTGAATGAAGTTGACGTCACGTGCATGTTAACTGCGTTCAACTACACAAGTCAGAAAACCAAACTATCCGCATCCATTGATGGCAACACCAGTGGATTAAAAACAAAAACTGTATATTGCAGTGAAGTATGAAGTACTTCCGAGGTTGGATAATGCGTTACTGTGTTTGAAAGACGCAATAAAAATACTAATAAACAAAATACACTACTTTTTCCACATCTGTCAGAGCACGAAGAAGCCGTTTGCTGTGGTTTCCCAGTCGGAATTCTAAAAAAAATCATAAAATCCTATGAAACTTTGAATTTCCGACTTCGGAGTACAAATGTAACGCATAAGCCACATCAAATATATAATGCTACCAGCAATGGTAGTTCAGTTTACGGGATGTCAAGTGCGCATCATACCACCACAAACTCCAATATCGATGACAAGTGGGTGCACTACGCCAGTACACATGCAGACGTTATTGTGTTTTGGAGAACACCGTAAAGGCTAGAATATGAAAATAAGGTTCAACAGTGGAAATAAGGTTCGACTTTAGGGTCTTATGTAAAGGTGAGGTCACTTTAGCGGATTTTTGCCAGCATAAAAAGATACAACACAAATACAAGAAGTCAAACCAACCAGCTTCCTATTGCAAATTTGATGAATCAAACAAGTAGAATTGCTTTTAGGAGCTTAATTCGTATTCGAAGTAGGGCTGAACGATAAATCGATGTTTAATCAACATTTGTGATTTAGCAAATGCTACGATTGTCTTGCACATCGTGCGAGGAAGCTACGGTTATTTCCTTAGAGGAGAACAAACATGGGATGTGTCCGAAACTGCATACTTCCATACTACGCTAAAAACTGTTTGCGAGCCGAGTAGTATGTCTGAACTTATAGAAATTGAAAATCAGTATGCGAGAAGTACCAGGATGACCTACTACTTCAGGCGAGATTCTGAAGTGTGCATCCCATGCACGCTGCGCTATGACATGATAGAGAGAATTCATGAATGGGAGTGAAGTGACGCAATCGACATGTGGTCCATGACCATGACAAAATGGCGGATGTAGTACGTCCGGATTCCATTCAAACAGCTCACATTTATACTGTATAGAAGGTACTTTTCTAACGGCTGAGTAGTACGTTTAAATTCAAATGCACTACCTACTGAATAGTAGGCGGTTTCGGATGCAGTCTTGGTTTATTAACAGAAAATGTATTATAAGAACTCAGATAAAGTATGTAATGATGCCTCTGACACGGCTTAGAATACTACAGAAATATCACCACATCATTTCACTGAAGGATTTATTTCAAACGCTGGATTAGAGTTATGAAGTGCTTTCAGGTCCAACATTAGCAACATTTACTATGCGCTGTAGGTCACTGTTACGCAAACAGCTATAAATATCTCAGAATGATTATCTGTGATTCGACCATCGCATTATGATATTTTATGTTGGTATGGGCCTGTGTAAGATTCTGACGGTATAATAACTTTGTATTAAAATATTACGGTATGACCGTATTGTGATTACTGCTCCAAAACATTTTCTATTTTTAAATGTTGGTGTAAAAAAACGACGACTTTTTATCCCAATTGAACACATTATATTTTATTTTAAGTGAAGTTTTTAAACTAATTTCGAGGAGCATGTGATATAATTGACTGCAGCTGGCCACCTATCTACACTCATTAGTTAGCCAATCAGATCTATCCTAACTCACTATAAGTAGCCTAGCTAGATATTACTCCCTTATCTTCGTTTTCCGAAGAAACCCCCCATCCACCCCCTTTCTCCTCCTTTCCTACTTTAAAAAGGGGAGCTCTCGAGAACCACCTGATCTCGTACTCCCCTCACATGCTCTATGGACCTGGCGGGAGCCCTGGGCTCAACTATCTCCGAGCTCAGGGTTCTCTCCCGGGACAGCATGCCAAACCTGCTAACAGTTGTCAAGCAATATCTAAGTGTGAACTCTTGAATAAACATTTAAAATATTTTGGAACAGTAAACATGTCAGGCTAAATAATTCAACTGGAGATCTGCACGAGACTAAACTTTTAATCCCGCTTCCGCCAGGTTTTATTCCGCACCCGACCGCTCCCGCCGTAAATTCAGCCTTTGTTCACCTGCTGCCCGACCCGCCTCGTTTTCTATCCAACCTGACCGTTCCTGCTAAATTTAGATCTAGTTTCCAAAACTTCACATTGAAATTGGGTACTAGCAAAACTGAGAGAGAGAACAGATAAAAGTGTAGGTTGTGCAAGGACTGTAGGCTAAATGTCAGTTTTGTTTGCCCCTTTGTGATGAGACATGAGGGCCGCGTGACGTGACGTGAGGTTTGTTTCTGGTGAGGCACTGACTCTATCAAACTCAGATTTACAAACATATCCACTGAATATATTTGCCAACTACCGATTGTGTTCAATATATCATATATTATCATGAGCACTATATTGTTGGATCGCCCACTCCCGTTCATATTACACCAGAGTTACCAACCGCTACCACGTTTTATTCGGAAATTTATTCTCATGCCACAAGAAATCTGGTTGGTACAGCCGCAGAAATGAAGACCTATAAATTCAACTAAACCATTGACTTCTGCTATTTCATTAGTTTCTATCTTCTGTCTTTGGAGATCTTTTTTTTCTTTGGATATAAAGTACAGCCACTGCACTGTTCAGCTCTATAGCATGCTTGGATGTTGGTCTACAAGTGATTTGTTCACGATTGCTGAATCGTGGCCTGACCAATAGCTTTTGATGTGGTGATACTGTTGCCTGAAAAAACTAAATGAAATCATTTAGGAACGGTATATAAGAACATTATGGCAGTTTTAAAACCTTGACTTTTCCGAACGGTAAACCTTAAGACCGGCTATCGTGCCATGCTTAATTTGATGTGATATTTTCCATAGCCTGTCAGTGAACTATAGCCTGATTTCCCGCGAATGCCAATTTAAACTGTGAAATCAAGGCTGCGGTGGGAAGAAACCCAAAAGTATCGCCTGAGTCACACAGGAATGTTGTGTACCTGGCTGTATATCTTACTAGTGAAGAGAAAGTGACACACATTATACTTTCACCGCCTTCTGAATGACCCGAAGGTCCGTTCTGAATAAATAGTGAAAATAAAAAGGGATATCAGAGCTCATTTTCAGTTAAGGGAAATGGCAATAGTTAGCTAACGTTTTCTTTCTCAAACACATGTTTTAGATGCCATTAACTCAAGTTAATGAACTGATTCTTTTTACCATATTAGTGGCACGGTACTGAAATTTATAAAACAGTCCATTTCCTGTTAACATTTTGGCATTTTTAAACGGTGCTAATATGCGATTGTGTTTATGTGCTCAACAGAAATGACTGTAATTGACCGTGAAGGTCATCAGTTTACCACACTTCACTGATGTTTACTGAGTGTAAACACAGACGAATGATCCGCTTGATGAATCGACTGATCTTTACGGCTTTAAACTGCTTCAGTGTCCGCGTATCAGTGTTAGCACTTGGTGAAGTGCGGTTAACTGATGACCTTCACGGCCAATCACAGTCATTTCTGTTGAGCACTGGAGAATACTATGGCAAATCAGCTGTTTAAGAATGCACTCAGCGGCGCTTAAATGTTAGTAGGAAATGGACAACACTATTACAGACTATATGAGGGTGTTTTTTATCGCTCATCAGGTGACAGGCTGAAGCAGAGAAGCGTCCTTGTCAAGCTATTCTCTTATGCACAAGTTTTCCCGCTTGAAAGGAAGACACATCATCAAGGGAGTTTTAACTGGATTCCACTCATCCATTTATTGCATCATAAATGCAGCAGAAAGGCAGGTAAAAAGTATAACGTTGGAAAGTTGAAAGTAGAAAGTTGAAAGTTGAAAGGTGAAAAACCTTTAAAATAAACAAAAATACAACATATGTAATTAAATTGCAAATAAACATATATATACAAACATTTGTAAATTTTGTCTGATTTTTCACACAGTATTTTCAAGTATTATACTGAATTATCACTTGTTAAAGCACAATCACCAGTACAGTTTAATATACTGAACTTAAATATTTAGTTTTAAGACATATAAATGAAATGTGATTAATTTTGCTACTGCAGCAATCAGCTTATGTGCACGTGATCTGCTCATGCATGCATATGAATCACGGAGGAAAATTAACATCTTAACGTCTGTCAGACAACACTCAAATGATGATCAAAATAACCAAAACTATACATTTCTGCTTTATAACATCTTGTAGTTTGCAAATAACTATTTGTATCTTCAAGTAATTAAGCAGCGGGCAGATAAGCACTGTAGGAGCAACTTTTTCCTCTGTGCCGAACTTGAACTCAGATGCTGCTTCACGGTTGATTTGCCCTCAAATACTGACATGACAGTCACGATTTTCATGCAATAACCAAAGTAAAGTTCTCACCGGCTGCCACTCCGGGACTTGATGATGGTTTTTTTTTAACTGTTGTGCACTTTCTTTCTCAATTTTGGCGGAGATTCGGCTTTGGCGGAGGTTTCGTTTTGGCGGAGATTCTGTTCTGGTTAGGTTTCAGTTTCCTTTTTCCTTACGTGAATGCCGAACTACTGCATGTCCTTCCGCCTCTCCCTCCGACTGGCGGATGGATTTTTTTTTTTCTCCTTCTATATTAGTTTGACTTGACAGTCCTCATGATGTTTACCTGGTGCCATGAACTGAAGCCTTGGAGGACACTTAAGCGCATTACTTGTAAAGAGATTGTGATGTAGGTTTGATGCCTAATATGCTTTTAATTGTTTAAATTAAACTTAATGATATTACAGTGATGTATCTGCATTTTTTAAATCGTGGCAACAGCTGAAAGTGTGTAGTACACAGCATGCTGTTGCAGTGTTTGCAGTGCTGGTCCTATACTTCCGGGTTTCTTCCCACCACAGCCTCGCTTTCATGCTTTAAAATGGCGGCCGTGTGAAATGGCTCTATCTGATCGCGCATGCTGGAGATTTACAGTTGATTACAGAGTCGGCTTTACTGACAAATGTACACAACAATCGTATGTGATTTATAGTGCAGCCCAAAACAAATTTGCGTGAATCACATTTTCATATTCAGACGAAACCATGATGCACCAATTACAGAGAAATCACTTCCAAGCAAAGCTTCAAAAGGGTTATATTCATGTGAGGAGCCTGAACATGAGCAAAATCTGAGTGCACAACATTCGTCAGGTGAAACTCCCAGTCACGCATATTTCTACTGACGTACTGGATTTCGCCAAGCAACGGAAAACCTGACCACACTTTAAAGCTATTGAAAAATACTTCAATCCAACAAATCAAACTACGCCACATCCCAAAGCAGCGCTACTCTAAAAGAGCACAGCAACAAGCAATTCCCACAGGGAATGTGTCGTAGGCCACGTACACGTTTGATCATCTCAATCGAGGGGAATACCGAATTACAAAAAGAGCCGGATAAACCCAAGCGACATTGATTATTCTGGAAGCCAGCTCAGTCCTTCAGATCCATCTATGTGCATCCCCAATCAAGGAGCTTTGCTTCTCAAAGGGACATGGATATTGTGATGCCATTAATTGAGGACTTAATTGTCATGCTAATCCAGTTTGAGAAGAGGTGGAGGAGGAAGGCTTTTCTTCGTGTCTAATCGTCTTAGTGCTTCGCCTGATCTCCGGCCACGACTCATTTCTCCCTGTAATACAGCAGATACATCTTCAGGGGTTCAGGTAATGGCAGTCTTAGGATCTTCTCCCTCAGAATATTAACAGGAGGCTCCACACGAGCGCAGCCGCCTTTGCTTTTCTCCTCTTCGCCAGAACCCTCCTCGTCCTCCTCAGGCAGGTCTTCTCTCACTCGCCGGCAGCCCCTTTCTTCTTCCTCCTCCACTTCCTCTTCTTCCTCTTCCACTCCCCCAGGGTAGTTGCAATCGTCCATGGCTGTGGGAATCATGGAGTCGTGGAGAACCACAGAGTTGACGCACTGGCGGTAGAAGCGGCGGCAGAAACGGCGGCGTTCGAAGCGAGGCCCGTAGCGGTGCATGGCCCGGGCCCCTGGGAAAGACACCCGTCTCTTCGTGCGTCCTTCACCCATCGCTATAGGCTGTCGCAGAGTGTGGCGGATGGCAATCCGTGACAAGTCCTGCAACGTCCGCACCTCAAAAATGGCTGGAAGGAGGACAGGAAAAAAGATGCTAACTTTATTAACTTGCAGGGTTTATGTCTGGTTTTACTTTGAAGTTTACAGCACTAGCTAATTCTGTAGATTTTTTTTTTTAAATACAATAATTTTCAAGTGATCATGTGATGATTTAATGATGGTATTTCTGAGTGATAAAAGAATTACAATTTATTTAGATGCAAAAATAGACTACACTACCTAACAAAAGTCTTGTTGCCTATCCAAGTTTTAGGAACAACAAATAACAACGACTTCTAGTTGATCATTTGGCTTCAGAAGTGGCTTGTATGACAGGACAGGCCTCTAGATTACGCTTATTTTACCAAAATAACAAATGATCATGCCTTGATTTTGAATTTAACTAGGACAGTAAGGTCTGACTTTGATGAGACAATAGTCTTGTCACAAAAATATTGTCCAGTATAGAATATAGTCACGGTGCAGTGTAAAAAGAATGAATATTGTGTCTGACTGTCATGAGCTTGGAGGACTGCATCCATACATCTCTGCAATGACTCAAATAACAATAATAAAGTCATGGAATGGCAAAGAAAGTCTCCCAGAGTTCATCAAGATTCTTTGGATTCAACTTCAATGCTGCCTTTATAGCAATGGTCCAGACTAGTTCCGAAAAAAAAATTCCAGAAAAAGGTACTAAAAACCATCACAATAGAAAAAAGACCACATGCCTTTAGTGGTCCAAGTGGAATATTATAAAGATAAAATCTACTTTTGTGTGCACTTAAAACTAAAATGACTTTATTCAACGTTTTTTTTTCTCCTTATTGTCAGTGAAGGTTGCGTGTTTATCAGCATGATGCACTGATGTATACCCTGATTGCCAGTTTGTGACTTCCTCTGATTAAAACAAAACACAGGCGCATCCAAGGTGTAAGTCAGCAGCTTGATTGAGCATGACACGCATTGTGTCACTCTTGTGAATGCGCACCCTATACTGACACTGAGGAGGCCAAAAACTGTTGAAAAATTTTGTTTTTTATTTTATGTGTGCACAAAACATTCTTATAGCTAGCTTCAATATATTACAATTGAACCGATGAAGGCATTTGGACTGTTTTGAGGATTTTTTTGAGGAATTTTTAAACAACTCAGTACAGTTACCATCTGAGCAGGATGAAGGGACTCTCAGATTTCCTCTAAAATGTCTGAATTTCTGTTCTGAAGATGAATGAAGGTCTCAGGATTTTGAAATGACATGAGATAAACTAACCCTTTTAACACTTATTTTTTGTGTTGTCCTATTGAGAAAAAAGTTATATCTTGCATGAGGATAAATGATCACTTTAATTTAAATTACAGCTACAATAAACAAAATACAACATTTTCATTAAACTCAGTATACATTTAAATAGCTGAATATATCAATAGTGTCTACAGTGGCCAGATGATTCCCCAGTGTACTCACGTAAAGGAACACTCCTAGGTCTGCCATTGACATTCTGCTTGGGCTGGACGAGCGGAGCGAAGGTCACAGCGATGATTTTCTTGGTCTCCCAGGAACTCTGACCTGTGCGGGTGATCTTGGTCAACTGCAAAACAGTATCTAATGAGCCTTCAAGACAATAATTACTACACTAATTATACATCATAACATGGGAATACTAATTTCCTGTAAGCAAGTACACAGATTCGGTCTGAGTAATTTACATGTTTAATTACATGTTTAAATATTAAATGGTTTTAATTTAGCTCCCAAAAACAACTCCCTTAGGACCCCAGGAATTGTTCTTATTTCCTTTATTTCTTCATTGAATTTAATAGCTTCAATGTAATATATTTTCAGGTAGTATATTTTAATAAACATACATATATAAGATTTAATGGTACTTTTTAAAGTAATATAAGCTGTTTACACATTAGGGGGGTCTCCTTATCCACCACCAGTGTGCAGCATCCACCTGGATGACGCAACGGCAGCCATATTGCGCCAGACCGCACACCACAGACCAGCTGATTCGTGGAGAGGAGACAAAGTGATGAAGCCAATTATCATATGGCAAAGGTTAGGAGGCCAATGGACAGATTTGGCCATGATGCCAGGGTTAAACCCCTACTATTTTTCGAAGGACATCCTGGGATTTTTAACGACCACAGAGAGTCAGGACCTCGGATTAATGTCTCATCTAAAAGACGGTGCTCACTGAGCAGTATAGAGTCTCCATCATACCAGGGGCATCAGGACCCACACAGACCGCAGGTTGAGCACTCCCTGCTGGCCTCATTAATACCACTTACGGCAGCAACCTAGCTTCCACATGTGGTCATCCAGGTACTGACCGGGTGCATCCCTGCTTAGCTTCAGTGGGCGACCATGTGAAAATTACAGAGTTAGCTGCCCGACGGTTTTGTCACACACTTACTTTCAAAATCAATTAGATACTAAAACTACACTTATCAGACAATTTCAAGTGGTCTTTAAAATTTACTGTGCAATACAAGCATGATTTCTTTAAATAAACATGATCTACCTTCTCCTCCAGGGGGAGAACTAATATCCCGCCAACTTTCAGCAGGTTCTTCATGTAGTTCTCATACTCTTTCTGAACTCCTGCACCGCAGTAAACCCTGTCATACTGCCGGCTCTCCGGAGGAATCTCCAGACAGTTCCCCACAACAAAGGTTGGCTCACAGAACTCAAACCTGCAAAACTCAAACCGTTAAACCAAACCTATTCATTGAGGGAAAAAAGTCTTTCAATGAAAGAGTTAAAGCAGTTGCACAGGAAATGACTCACTTGTCAAAGCTGTCACTGTTTTTGATGAAGTAGTCGAGTTTCTGATAGGCATAATCAACCACATCTTTGTGTAGTTCCACACCGTGATTCACACCAAACGGACCTGATAACAAATCCATATATTTACATTAAATTATATGCATTTTTAGGGTGCTTTCACACCTACACTTTTGTTTCGGAACCTGTCTCATTGGCCCAGTTAGCGTGGTTCGTTTGGCATATGCGAAACCACCAATCGCTCTCGGATCCGCGCCAAATCAATCGCTCAGAGATCGATTGATTGAGGTGGTCTCGGCTCGATTGAAACGAACTTTGGAGCAGATCGATTGCAGTGAGAAAGTGAGCCGATACGAGCATGGTTATATCACTGTGTTTTATGGCTATATGAAGAGAGAATTATGAGTAGGGCGGGAAGTTTCGCGAGTCTCTGGATGCCCACAAACGAATGATAATCTCCCGGTAATCTCGCGTCTCCCTCCCGATTCTAAATAGGCTACGTCGCGCACCCTTCTCACCCCTCCCCACCGCATCTCTCCTCACGCTTCAGACACGTCGCGCGCACCTTGTCAAACAACACCCCCCCCCCCCCAGGCCCGAAAGCTGAGCGGGACAAAATAAACCCTGAAACTCTGACTAATGTAAGGAGAGTTTACTCACACGTGACTTGTTTTAGCTCTATTGGTCCAATTAGAAACTTTGCCGTGTGAAAGCGAACCTCACCAAGAGCAAAGAGCAACAATATAACATTTGTAATCTCTGTTTCGAAACAACTGAATCGATTCACAGGTGTGAAAACACCCTTAGATGCACTTTCACTTTTAATGTAAATTTAGGCTTGAAAGAAGACAAAATAGCTATTTTTCTTTCCGTTTGTAAAGACAATAATACTTCTATTCAGCAAGCATAAACCAGTCTGAATAAAATGATGGTGAAATGTTATCAAAAAGATTGATTTTAAATAAAAAAAAAAAAAACTATTCTCAGAAAATAATTCTCGAATGTATATTTTTTTCCACAGTCAGATTACGCTTAAAATTAACACCAAAAATAACATTTTCATTTTGTTAGCTCATGTTGGTAGTTTTGTGGCAAACAATTGATCCGTGCATGCCATTACGAAAAAATAAATAATAATAATGTTTGTCCTTGTAATCTGTAATTAAAATCTGAAAATGCACTTCCTGTTTTCAGTTAAGTTCTCCAATTAAGTCTGCCTAAGGTATTAGGCGTGGCGTTTAACATACTTAAACACGCCTCTTCAACTTTCAGTTTTGACAGCACTGTCAACAAACAGAAACGGTGAAGAGGAGGCGTCTGTTAGGATGTAATAACTTTCCCGAAACCCTTTCCTTGATTTTCTTAATGAAATGCCTACTTTATACATCCAATCAGCTCGCAGTACAAACAAAACACTTACAGTTTTCTCATATGATATTGCATTTTACCAGGAATTGGATCACAATGGACTTCTTTTACATCTCAGGGTTTCTCAGCAGTATACGTCATCATAGTGGGGTTAACTGTGACCAGGGGCGATTTTAGGATATTTATTTTAGGGGGGCTAAGCTCCTTACGAGGTAAACATTTACATTTATTAGTGATAATATAATAATTATAATACATTTAAAAATGTTTGACTAATATGGTATGGTTGAATGCTAAACTAGCAATCTATTGTATAAACAGGCATAGCAATTTGAGTTCTGAATGAGCCAAATAGGCCCAACAAACCTGTTTACTGTAGTACAGTTTATTAAATAAATAAATGTTTTCATGTATTAACAAAATAAAACTGCCAATTTTCTAATTAAATGGCATAAATATAAATATTTTCTTAAACCTACAGGCTAATTCACAAATTTAACAACCTGAATTATCACAATAATGTAATCTCTGTTAGTGACCCTGACAGTTAAAATGAGCACATTCACTAAGTATTTGTGCCACTGTGTTTAATATTTTCTGTGCATGAGTGTATGGTATAGACTAGTTAATGCCACATGCACTGTGATGCGTTTTATATTCGTAGTTCATTTTGAAATGAAAACAGCGAAGTGTTCGTTAAGAGTTACATTTTCGCTGGAGGAGGTGAGCACTGAGGAAACAGTAGATGGGAAACCCGATTGCTGAAGTTATCGATAAACACACCTTGTTCTCTTGCTCTGCACGGCTGTGGTTTGCTGATCAAATGAAGAACAAAAGACTGGGAGGAGCCAAATTCTGCCGCTGTTTTCATATCAAATTTAAAGGGGACTAAGGTGATAATTTAGTGTACAGTTCATGAGCTAATCGCAAAAGTTTTAGGGGGGCTGATTTGAAATATAGGGGGGCTACAGCCCCCCTAAAATAGGCCTAGCAACGCCCATAACTGAGACTACAAAAGGTAGTCAGTAGAGAAAACAACATCAAACCCATAAGAAGTCATTTGTTTTTTGTAATTTGATGCAAACATGATGTAATACATGCAGAAACATAGCTTTAAAAGAAATCTAAATATAAAACAATTTCAAGGATTCAAGATGCTGATTACCGTTAAATTTGTCATAAGACTTGTTAAAAGGGTCCATAATAAATTTTTTTTAAAAAAAGTCACAGCGTCTGGTTGGTGAGGACTTTAAAGGTGCAGTAGGTGATCTGCCAAAAAGCTAAGCGCTTAGCATATTATTTTTGGACGGCGGGGAGGGACTGTGATTCAAAGCCACACCCCCTGAAATCGCGAGCGCACGCAACAGCCGACAGACAACCCACTAGTTCATGTCATTCGCCAGTTAGTTAGTGCCAGCGCAGTGCAGGAATTACATCTATTACTTAGCCACACTTACATGCTATTTCAGAGCGAATATTCAGAGTAGCATGGTAAACAGTTTAGGAAGGCTATCATTGTTCAAAAATGACCCAATGTGAATATAAAAGCAACTTCAGCTCAATAAAGCAGGTTAGGCGGAATAGCGCTATTTACTGGTGTTTTGTTGTTAAACTAAATATAAATCTACATTATAGATGCTGTCAAAGAACCTCATGAAACTGAAAATAATCACATCAATTTTTGTCATCAAAACACACGTCTGTGCATATAAGTCATTCATAACAGAACACAATCTAACATAAAATAGTTTCAAAACAGAACATTACCTGTCTAACAGTAATACTTCAGCCATTGTGCCGTCCTTCCTCCAGCATGCTAAAGTAACTCCAATATTGATTCAGATATTTAAAAGTTTCAATTCAGCATTTGACTTCTCCCTGTCCGTCTCGTGAACGCACGGCCGCTTTAAGAGCGAATTATACCTGCGCCTGGCTTTACAGTAATCGGCCCGAGCTCAGCTGTCCTTCGGCGCCTCCGGCTGATGTGCACGCGCTAGTGGAGGATCTGCGTGAACACATGCGTGAACACATAGAAGTCTACATATGTTGACAGACAGTCTGACCAGCTTATCGGAATTAAGGGAGATGACGGTCCGACTCTATTTAATTTATTTAATTGGATGAACATTTTTTTGTTTTATGCTTTACCCAGAATATAAAAATACATATAAACACATTTACTGTAATCATTACTATTGGACTGTGAAGAGACTTTCAACCTAAATGAAAATACTGTTATCATTTACTCACCCTCATATAAATCACAAACAAGGATAGAATATTCCTTTTGAGGTGAACTAACTCTTTCATTATTATTAATATTTTTGTTTTTACGTATAAGTGCACTCACCCAGTATAAGGCCCACCATAGTGCTCAAATAACCCGTCCCGCTGCCCAGATTGAGAAAAGACAAGCCAGGCTGCAGATCCAAAGCCTCCATCACCTCAGAGTAGATGCATGGAGCAGACAGATGGAGGTTTCCGTGCCTCCAGGCCAGGTCTTTGTAAGCACTGTCACGGTACTCCTCCAGGTAATAGTCGGCTCTGTCGATGGCTCTGAAGGCCCTCTCCACCAGATCGGAGCGGATGTAATGGGCATCCTTCAAGTTGTCAATCAGCTCATCGTTGTCCTCACCCGCACTCACAGCTCCCCCCATGATCAAAGCAGATGAGCCTTTAAGGACAGTCCTGAGGAGAGCCGATCACTGTCTGGAGAGAAGAGCAAAACATCTCAACGCAGAGCATCTGAAATAGCAGAGTATTATTGTTAAAGTGCAATTAGTTCAATGTGTGTTCATTTTGAGTTTGTACCAGAATAGTTCAATAAAAAAATAAAATTGAATTGGCTCACCCTCAAGATATCCCATGCGAAAAGTTCAGATGCAAAAAAACTCTTAGTGCCATCTGAACTTTTCCTCTAAAATATGTTTATTTGAGGTATTCCACTTTTAAAAACAATGCAAAAATCTATTTATACTTACCATAAATTAGTAAACCTATACAGGCGCCTAAAAATTTTTTCAGATGACATTTAGAGGCTTTTGTGTCTGAACTCTTCGTTTGTAGATGTCTTTCTTGTTTCTGATAGATTATATGATATTATACCCTGGCTTTGACTTGCTTTATAATGGCAGTGAATGGAGCTCAAGTTTTTGAAGCCCCAAAAGCACATTAAGCACAAAAGTAATCCATATAGGGCTGCACAATATATCATTTCAGCATTTATATCACGATTTGATCTTTCACAATAATCGCACCACAAAATATGCAATGCTGAGTCTGGATTATAATTGGTAATTTCTCAAGCATTCACACATAAGAAATTGTACTGTTTGTAAGTTTAAAAAAATAATAATTTTATTGTTTATTTTAAGAAGACATTTTACATTTGATAATTTAAGTACTATACACAGATAGACGGAAAACTGACACTGAATACAGGTACAAGTGGACTGAATACAGTACAACACTGTTTATTTAATAAGTATCTTTTTCTTTATTGAATTTATCTGCTTGTATATTGCTTATTATATTTTAATGTGATATGCTGAATTTCATATTAAATTTGATATAATGCTGCTTAGTGTTTCATGGGATTGTACTGTATTTTCCCTAAATAAACCTACTAATGAACTATTACAGTCTTGCATATTATTATTTTTTCAGATTTTCCTCATCTTCTCTGCTCAAAATCAAAGTTTGTAATTACCTTGCAGTTAGTTTTTTATTTCATGACTTAAAGTTGATCAAATATTTTTTTTTTTCCATTAGAGGAAAAGTCACACCCGAAATCAGCAGCACAAAAGAAAAGTGAAAGAGTTCCTGTTGTTTACTAATCATTTATAATCATAAATCATGCATAATTGATTAAATCTGTGTATAACATGAACATGAAGTGTAGGCTAATTCTCAAACAATACGTGTAATGACAATGAATCTATTGCAGTGGTTTTAAAATGAGTTTCTATTTAGTTGTAAACAACACCTCCAACAGTTTGCGGTTTAGCATGGCAAGAAGGCACTGAATGATTATTAAGACAGCTAAATCTTTAATGAGACACAGCAGCATGTTAGAAATCTGAGCTGAACAGACATGTCAACAAACCTGAAAATAATATACTTCTGGCACTCTATTTTTAGAGGTCAGACAATGCCAAGTAAAAAAAAGTGGCACGCTGTTGTGTCATAACTTTAACCCTTGGCAGAGAGTATTGGGATATGAAACCCCTCTACTTCAGCAGGGTGTTTTCACACCTCTACTTTGGAAAAAGTCAGGAAAGTGGGGGTGCCCAGCTCTGTTTAGGAGGGAGTGTCAGAAGAGGGAAAAAGGCATGGTCTGTAAGAATTTGCATAAAAATGGGAGTTGGGAGTTTCACAATGATTGCTTTTTTTTAAAGAAATATAAAATAAATGCTAATATTGTGAAACATTGCATTTAAAATTACTGTGTTTGAACATAGTAATTTTATTGCAATTTACTTCTGTGATGGTACAGCTGATTTTTATAAGCCAGTGTGATTAAGAAAATAATTCTTGCAATCATTTACTATGAATATTAATTATTATAATTACTCTAATGTAATTATACATTTTGAAAACCAGTGCTGCCAAATAATTTTGTGAAAATTGTGATACATTTTTATCAGACTCTTTTTTTTCACGAGTGGAATAAATATGTTGTAATCATTATATTACATATAACAAATACATTACATGCATATTACATATTATATAAAATATAATATATATATCTTAATGTGCATGCCCACAAAAGTCACATCACAGGACATGTAATTTTGAGTTGAAATTATAATTGATCAGTACAACAGTTGAGAATACATGAGATTTGTGAAGTCATTATAAGTATAACCATGGTCAAGTACAACCATAACAGAGTGAAAACTTATCAATTGCATATTTTAAAGGCATTTTAAGAGAATTTCAAACATTCATGCACAAAAAAAGTACAATTGTGTAATGAGGAATTATTCCACTAAATTATTCATTCATTAATTTTCTTTTGGCCTAGTCCCTTATTTATCAGGGATGGAATGAACCACCAACTATTCCGGCATATATTTTATGCAGCGAATGCCCTTCCAGCCACAACACAGTAATAGGAAATTTACAGAAATATTAGTGTTATTTTACATTTCATTAATCAATTTCAACACCAGAATACTGAATGCTCTGGAAAACCATCAAGCACCGTTTCTTCTTTAACTTTTTTGTTGCTCTATTTTTGCTTGTGATTTATTTATTATTCCTATACATGATTTACATTTTTAAGAATCACCCCCATCAATCAAAACTAATAAATTATTTCCAAATAGAGCTATTCAACCTATTTGGTGAAATTGTATTTATATTGCAATATATAAGCAAAAAAATAATAATTATATATATATAGCAGAAAAACTAAATATCGTAATGTCAGATTTGTCCACTTCTGATGAGTCAGTCACTTCTGATCAATTAAATGCATCCTTGTTATTTAATGCAATTTAGTGACACTAAACTCGTTATTAAAATGTATTAAGCTTTTTAATTAAATAATAATTAAAAAGTTAATAATAAAACCAATAATAAAAAAACATACATTATATGCAAAACACAACATATTTCAAAGCAATGAAAAATATAATTATTACAAAACATATTTATTTAACAAAAACCACAAATACTCTGTTTCTCTGAAATTGTATTACTGTCTAAGACAAATACATTAAAACTACCTGTAATTAAATGACTTAAAACATTATTCTGTTAAATATTCTGCAGAAAAGTCATCTAAATACAGTAACTGAACTACTTAATACTTTGTAACTAATTACACCTGACACATTTGACCAGAAATACAACACATTTCTGAAACTAACTTTTATTTTTAAATCATGGCATGGTTCAATGGACTATTCAAAGAGAATAATAAAAGATACACACAACAACATAGTTACTTTTCTTTAAAACAGTCATAGCATGTTAAACTAGCCACATAGTCTAACCCAGGGGTGGCCAACCCTGTTCCTGGAGAGCACCTTCCTGCAGATTTCAGTTGCAAACCATATCAAATACACCTGAACCAATTAATTAGGACGTGAACACCACGTGATAATTACAGGCAGGTGTGTTTGATATGGGTTGCAACTGAAATCTGCAGGAAGGTGGTTCTCCAGGAACAGGGTTGGCCACGCCTGGTCTAACCAATAGATCATCCTAAAGGGATAGTTCACCAAAAGATGAAAATGTACTATTTAATCACCCTTAATGGTGACCAATATTTATGATTACTTTATTCCGTTGAACACTATAAAGAATATATTTTGAAGAAAGCCTAACACCTGTAACCACTGACTTCCATAGTAGTAAAACAAATATTATGGTAGTCAACAGTTACAGGTTTTCAACTTTCTTCAAAATATCTTATTTTGTGTTTAATAGAAGAACAAGTTTGGAACTTGTGAAGGACAAGTATGTGGTGACAGAATTTTCAGTTTGAGTAAAATAACGTTATCCCCTTAACCAGGCTAACAAAAATATAAACATACCACTGACTGAGAAATTAGGAATGCAGCAACTGTTAGCTGGTCACCTTTTACGTACTAAATAGAAAAATAAGTTCAATATACTGCACATTATATCACAAACTCGATCACTTTGCATTTTAATCTTACTGACGTGATGGCATCCGTCAACTATTTATAACAAACAAACAACCGGGCGAACCGAACATTACATTCAGCCAGCGATCGCGCAAACAAACATCTGTAACGTAACGTTAGAGAACAAAGCAAAGGGACGTGGACGCGGGCTTTCTACATGTTGCAACTCAGTAACCGTCATATTTAGGTCACATCTATAACAACAGTAAATTACAGTCTGTCTGTGCACGAGGGCAAGCTTTGCACAACCACAGACATAAACAAAAGAGTCTCCGGCCACACTGAGCGCATTCATTCCCGCTGCGCAGTCAGCATCTTACCGTGTGATTGTGGGCCTCGGCGGTTGTCTCGTGCAAACTAGCAATGTCCATCTATCACATTAACGCGTATGTCGTGTGTTTGGTTCTGGGCACAATAACGCCTAACTTGACTGCGAATATTTGATGCGATGTAAACATAAACCAGCTGACGCGCTGACGTCACACGCACAACGACGTCAAGGGATTTGTTTTGATTCGATTCGTGACTCGGATCTTTTGAGCCTGTTCACAAAAAAGATTGACGAGTCAATGAATCATCCACTCAATTATCCTTTAAATTAAAACTAAAGTAAACTAAATTTAACTAAACTAATTTTAAATAAATAAATTCAATAAAAAATTCAGTTTTCGTTTCTTAATATTTTATGTTTTGCAACTCTATTGGATGACTGTTAGGGTGGTTCACACTTGTAGTTTTCATTTATTAATTCATTTTCTTTTTCAGCTAACCTTCGTCTTCAGTAACCTTTTTAATCTGGAGTCGCCACAGCGGAATGAACCACCAATTTATCCATCGTACTGACACACACACACACACACACACACACACACACACACACACACACACACACACACACACACCACGGTCAACTTAGCATACCCAAAACTTGTGGGGGAAACCGGAGCACACAGAGGAAACCCACACAAACACGGGGACATAGAATGCAAACTCCAGACAGAAACGACTCAGCGACCTTATTGCTGTGAGGCGAATGTATACCCACTGTGCCATACTTGTAGTTTTGTTTTGTTATAATTTAGTCGAACTATACCAATTTGGATGTGGGCGCAGACCAATTTCACTGAATTCAGAAAAATAATGCTTTCAACACAAGCTTAACTGTATGTTAAAGTTATGTTTAATTAAACCAAATCAGCAAATAGGCCTATTAGATAATTTATATAGTTTTTGTTTTAATATTTATTACGTTTCTAAAGCAAAACAACATTGTTAAATAAAGATATTGGTGTGTGGTAAAATTAGCTGTTTTCACAACTTCGCTTTTGTTAATTAATTAATAATAATAATAATAATAATAATAATAATAATAATGTATATTTTCTTAGTTGTCACGTGATGAACTAACGACTAACGGTTTGGTCGTTCGAGGAATTCCCGGCACTCCGTTTAACTTTTCTTTTTCTTCAGTTCAACGTGGCCCAACGCAGATTTACTGACTTCACACGGTTCACACTCTCTGCTGAAGGTAGGAAAACACGAGAACAGTGGAAAACATGACATTATTTATGAACATTCCGTGGCTAAAAATATTTATCAAGTGCAACAAGTGTTTACGAAACAGTTAACGTTACAACGTAAATCTCCAACATTTAAATTCTTTCTATCACGATTTAACAAAGCACTCAAAACACTGTCCTTATGATCTTTTTTTGCTTCATTTTCTTGTTAATTAGTGGTTTCTTTCATCCGAGCTCAAATGTTTGCTGCAAGCAAATATAAACACTTTTTTTTTTGTCTCCATCATCATTAGACACCGTGGTTTTGTATGGCAGTGTCCCATTTTCTCCAGCAGAGGTCAGTATGTAAAAAGATTTCAATTAGAAATAGTAGCAAACGCTGCTGTTTGTTGTCAGTCACACAGCTGTAATTCTCTAATAAAAAACTAAACATCTCTCATCACAGCTGTAGGATTGTAATGCTGACAAAGATGAAATACTTTAATTTAAATAAAAAAGTCGGAATTCTTTACAAATTATGTATATTATTTCTATATTAGTCATCAAATACATTAATCACAAACTGAATTATTCATTAATTTTCTTTTCAGCTTAGTCCCTTTATTAATCAGGGGTTGCCACAGTGGAATGAACCGCCAACTTATCCAGCATATGTTTTACGCACAGATGCTCTTCCAGCTGCAACCCATCACTAGGAAATCTACAGCCAGTTTAGCTTATTCAATTCACCTGTACCACATATCTTTGGACTGTGGGGGAAACCCACACGATCTCCGGGAGAACATGCAAACTCCACTCAGAAATGCCAACTGACCCAGCCGGGGCTCGAACCAGCGACCTTCTTGCTGTTGGTGAGTGATCGTGCTACCCACTGCGCCATCGTGACACCAGGCTGAATTATATAATGAACAAAATGTATGCTAACGCGTGACAAGCAAAAAACAAACACACATGTAGAAAGCGTATACTCAGAAAGATCACATTATTGACTTTATTTATGTTTTCCATATATAACACTGAAATGAACGATACCTCCACAAAACAGACAATATTGTTCTCTTTTAACACTGATACCAATGAGCACAGGTACAAGGATACACAAACACGGTCACAGTCCAAAACCAACTACACACTTCATTTCCAAAGTTACCTCGAATCACGCACAGCCATAGCTTGTCCTGCTCTACAGAAATAAAAACCTCAGCAAGGAAACTACCAGTGCTACAAAAGTGACTAAAATATGTATCTATCACTGTGGAAGTGCTTATTATTGTTATTTTTTTTGGAAGTACAACTTTTTTTTTGTCGTTTTCTAAAGGAGAAACATATAGTGGCTACAAAATCACCAGTAAAAATAGCTGATCTCTGTAAAAAGGACGCAAGAGGACAAGCCTTGGCCGTGGGTTAAAATACAAGATTTTTCTTTTTTTTTGTTTTGTTTGTTATTTACTTGGAAATATTCTTTAATACAACAACACTGTCCTTTATTACAAATGTACAGAATCCCATTGTTGTCAGAATAATGCCCTGTGCATAAATGCTTCATCTGTGATACATCCCATGATTATTTCAGACTGGATGAAATGACCCACCACACGATTTCATACCTGAATCAGAATCACAGTTTTGGGAAGAATAGTGTTACATTAGTGATTTTATTTCATTTCGAAACGATTCGCTGACTATCGAATTCAATCTGTTCTTGGTGTTCACCACTTTGCTGAATTTCTATGAGCTCTCCTCCCCAAAGAACCAGGAAGGAAAGACAGAAAGGAGAAAAAAGTTGGCGTCCTGAGTGGGATTTGAACCCAGTCCTTAAATGTAAACACACCCTTTCCTGCAGCGAACAGAAGCGAGAAAAGGCACACATGAGAAAACCACAGAGCTGTAAGCTACAGTACCTACAGAATGAGGGCCGTTTTGGTTTTATCAGCTTAATGGGACAAACAGTGGCAACTTTTTAGCTGTTTTCGTTTCTCGTGGAATGATGTAGGAACCCATTTTTGTTGGCACACACCTCGGAAAGGCCGGACTCTCAAGTACAAGGTGCTAAATCAGTCGGGTACAAACACTTATTTGGCTCCACGGGTGGGGGGAGGGGTACATACACTAACTTGCATTTGCAGATGCTACACTGCTCCAGAGAACATGCTACATTATTAGGCAGATTCACTCCTCAACCTCATCGCGCAACATTCATAGCTGCTCATCATCACCGACAGCAGGCGTTTAAGAAGCATGCACCGAGGAAGAATAATTCACACATGCTTTAGGCTATCTCACGTCAGTAGTAATAAGCAGATAGAAATGTTTCTCCCATCGTAATAAGACAATATGACATCTGTAGTGAGTGTTCCCTCTACACAGTTTAATAGAACTCTAATGAAAATTCTGCCGTTACAGATAGACAAGGTCCTCTTAAACCAAAACCAAATGCTGTGGTATTGAAATGCAACGCACACATCTTTCCTGCGGAAAGGTTACACGGAACGAGGCGAATGAGGCCGGCAGAGGATCTGACATTCTGTGGAAATGGACAAAGATTTATGCAACTAGCGTCTCCTTCGTTTTCTCCGTGTGTGAGGGCACGCCAATGACAATCTCAGGTGCAAACGCTCAGACACATTTCACATCGTTGTTGTTTTTTTCTCCCAGTTTTAACGAAGGGCTTGTAGCCAACAGCAAACAGAGCTGATATTTTGAACGTATAAGGGCTGTTTCATATCGGTGACAAGGCAAAAACGTCGGAATAACTTCAGTCAAAGGGCATTCGACATTTCAGACAGGATACAGATTCACATTAAACAACAACAAACAAGTCAAAGACATTTGCGATATTTTATCCCAATGCTGTTGGTGCAATGAATAGTACCTTTTTTTTTTTTTTAAATCTCCCAAAAAAAACTCTGCTAACACTCACCCATACACACACACTTGCTCGCACATGAAGAAAAACCTTTTAGTTGAAAGGTCATTAGTTGGCATTCAAGATTTTCGAAAAGTGCACAAATGTTCTGTCCATCACAATATTGCTGCCATAATAGCAAATGAACAACATGACCGCTGTGTACTGTTTAACGAAATGACCGGCTGAATAGAGGCACAATGTTCATTTCACAACTCGCCATTATGAGTCATACAGATGTCATTGCGATGATTGGCATTTTACACACGTATCATCAGTGTGGCGTGTCCAACGCAATCTCACATCGTAACTATTCGTGTTTTTGTGGATTAGTGTCTAGTTTGTTCAGTGATATGTTTACTTTTTCTAAAAAGTCATCGACAAATCGTTCAAACTAGTCACTAATTCAGCAAATAGTTAGTTTTTTTTTTGTGAGATCGGGTTGGCGTGTCCCACTAGAACTGCACAACACCGTACAACACTACAGACAGATCCACCGAGGAGAACTTTCAGCACACTACAATGTGTCTAAACGATTACAGCCTACGACTAATCTGTTAACCATTGTCCCATTAATGCGGCTGACATACACACAGAGGCCCATTGAGTTTGGACCAGAAAATAGAAAAAAAAACTCTACAAACACCCTCGTAATCTTTGCTTAAGAATCGTACGTTTACATATTATAAAACACATCGCAACCACAGTAAACTGGGTCTGTCTTTTTTATATTATTTATTCTTCTATGGATAGTAGTACTCACAGCTTTTGGAAAGATATTGTTTCTGTTTAGCTATTATAAGAGAAAAAGAGTTAACAATTACACTGTAAAAATATATGTATGTTTATATACTATATATAGTTTTTTTGTCTTCTTTTTTTTTTTCTTTTAAATACAGAATGAATATATTGTGTAGGTATGGCCATTACGGCAAAGGAATAAAGGCATCTGTAACAATCCCCACTTATGCCACGGTCACAAGACCCGAGGGTAGTGTGGTTGCTGAATGGGCGGAGTTGGTAACGAAAGCACAGGTCAGTGGCACTTTGTGCATCGAAGAAAT